CGTCTCTACTGAAAAAATACAAAAAACTAGCCGGGCGTGGTGGTGGGCACCTGTAGTCCCAGCTACTCAGGAGGCTGAGGCAGGAGAATGGTGTAAACCTGGGAGGCAGAGCTTACAGTGAGCTGAGATCTGGCCACTGCACTCCAGCCTGGGCGACAGAGCGTGACTCCATCTCAAAAAAAAACAAAAAAACAAAAATTAGCTGGGCTTGGTGGCACACACCTGTAATTCCAGCTACTTGGGAGGCTGAGGCACAAGAATCACCTGAACCTGGGAGGCAAAGGTTGCAGTGAACCAAGATCATGCCACTGCACTCCAGCCTGTGACACAGCAAGACTGTCTCAAAAAAATAATAAGAATAAAATAATTTAAAAATTAAAAAAACCTAATTCACAGAGTTATGGAATTATTAAACATATTAAATAAGATAATGCACACAAAGTACTTAACAGCATCAGACATATTTTAAGCACTCACTAATGCTTGCTATATAGTTAAATTATATAGCCATATGTATGTGTATATACACACAAAGATCAATAGATATGTTGACATAGAATGACTATGGCAGGGTCCTGAAAGAGATCACGAAAGACAGAAATTTTCACACTGGTTCTTTCCTTTTGGGGGATGCTGACAGTTTCCCCAGAAGGCAGCAGACTTTGCCTCTGGGAGCAAGCCACTGGCCTGGCCCAACACTCTTGAGATGAGCAGAAATGGGCAGAGGAGAGCTCGAGACAGAACACAGGCCAGGCTAATGTCTTCCTGAGAGGAAAGCAGTGGGAGGAAAAAGGGGGCAGCAAAGAAACAAGAGATTGCCTCCTTCACCTCCACCAATGTTACTTAGGCTAAAACCCCTCTGTCTACCAAATCAGCCCTGGTCACAAACTAAAACCCCAAACCCAACAGGAGGCTTACTTATCCATGCCAATCTGAATTTCTCCACGACATGGACCAGGTGGGACTGTGGGTTTGGTGCCATGTACATGACCTACGACTTGGTGGATGGAGTTCCTTAGACCACAGCAGCCTCTGGCTCAAGGGAGCTCAATCTACTGAGTACCTGGACCACATGGGGCTCTAGCAGCAGTCCTATCTTGAGCCCAGAACAGTAACTTTCAATAGAATATACACTGGTATGTTGAATCAGAAGTTCAAACTCCCCTCACCTTTATGGTGAGTTTTCTGTCAAGGACTTCCACTGCTTTCTTCTATTATGCCTTTGTATCATTGACCATTCCATCAGTGAGGGCCACCACAGTCCCTCAGAATTATTTAAGACTTACTAGGGGGAGATTAGAGTAGCAATCCTTCTAATCCTTTCAAAAGGTTTCTTTTGAACCCTTTTCAAAAAGTTTCTTCACTTAGCACCCTGGAACCAAATGGAAGTGATTATTTTTGAGGAGATGTGACATCTTCCTCCTGGGCCTTGCCTAGCCAAAAATGTTGTTATCTGTTGCAATTAGAAGACAGCAAAGAGTGAGAAGTCTCTTTGCTCAAAGTTTCTTTGGCCACTGGAGTGGGGCTTCCCAGAGCAGTAAACTCCTTTAGGATAGGGACTGTTGGAATTAAATGAGCTGGAGAACTACAACCTGGAAACTGGACTTCAGCTTTACAAACTCGGAAACTCATTATCACTGTGATGGTTAATTTGATGTGTCAACTTGAGTGGGCCATAGGTGCCCAGATTAAATGTTGTTCTGGGTGTGTCCATGAAGATGTTTCCACACGAGAATAGCATTTGAATTGGTAGACTCAGCAATGTGGATTGCCCTCCTCAGTGTGTTTGGGCATTGAAAAGGCAGAGGAAAGAATTTACCCCTCTTTTCCTGCCTCACTATTGAGCTGGGATATCTCATTTCACCTTCTCCTGCCCTCAAACTGAGATTTACATCATCAGCTCCCCTGGTTCTCAGGCCTTTGGACTTGGACCGAACTGCATCACTGACTTTCCTCCATCTCCAGCTTGCAGAAACGGATTATTCGACTTCTCAACCTCCATAATCATGTGAGCTAACTACTCATAATAAATAAATAAATAGGCTGGGCACAGTGGCTCATGCCTGTAATCCCAGCACTTTGGGAGGCTGAGGCAGGCGGATCATGAGGTCAGGAGTTCGAGACCAGTCTGGCCAATATGGTGAAACCGTCTCTACTAAAAATACAAAAATTAGCCAGGCGTGGTGGTGCGCACCTGTAGTCCCAGCTACTCAGAAGGCTGAAGCAGAAGAATCACTTGAACCTGGGAGGCGGAGGTTGCAGTGAGCCAAAATCGCGTCACTGCACTCCAGCCTGGGCAACAGAGTGAGACTCCAACTCAAAAATAAATAAATAAATAAATAAACAAATAATATATATACACATATAGGCATATATATACACACATATATAGAGAGACAAAGAAACAGAACCAGAAGTATATATATATATTTGCACACAATAGTATATATGTGTGTGTATATATATCCTCTTGGTTCTGTTTCTCTGGAGAACCCTGACTATTCCTGGTGATTTAGTCAAAATAACTGACCTCACAAGAGGCAGATACATAAGCCAGTATTAACTACCAAGTGGAGAAGAATAGTTATAAACACAGGCCAGGGAATTCTCTCCTATATCGAAATCTATTCAAAAGCCAAATAAAAAGAAGATTGCATAATAAATACGGAATAAGAACAAAGGGAGGCAGCTAGAGCTAAGGGATATTTTATCTGTGTCCTGCTGAGACCAGAAAAAATATCCTTGCCCCATGAGAGTGCAAACCTCTAGTTACTAAAATATTTATACCCACCACGTCTTCAGTGCTGACTATACATCAGATTCTTGCCCTCTGAATTCCTCCATGTCCCCTCTCCCATATTCTCTCTTCAGCCTGTACAATTAAATAGAGTTAACCATTCTTTTTTTTTTTTTTTTTTTGAGACGGGGTCTCGCTCTGTCGCCCAGGCTGGAGTGCAGTGGCCAGATTTCAGCTCACTGCAAGCTCCGCCTCCTGGGTTCACGCCATTCTTCTGCCTCAGCCTCCCGAGTAGCTGGGACTACAGGCGCCCGCCACCGCGCCCGGCTAGTTTTTTGTATTTTTTAGTAGAGACGGGGTTTCACCGTGTTAACCAGGATGGTCTCGACCTCCTGACCTCGTGATCCACCCGTCTCGGCCTCCCAAAGTGAAGGGATAACAGGCTTGAGCCACCGCGCCCAGCCAACCATTCTTAATTACAGTCACATTCCGAGCACGTCTTCTCCAACTTACACACCCAAATCAGATGACTAGTATGAACCATTCTCACATGCAAGACACATTTATTGATAATCTTTAGTTCCATGGAGGGTTCGATTCATCTGCTTACTTTATTTCCAAGCTTTTGGAGGGACCCTCACTCCTCTTTGCAGTCTTCATTTATTCATTTATTTATTTATTTGAGATGGAGTCTCACTCTGTGGCTCAGGCACAATCTCGGCTCACTGCAACCTCCACCTCCCAGGTTCAAGCAATTCTCCTGCCTCCGCCTCCTGAGTAGCTGGGATTACAGGCACCACACAGGGCTAAATTTTGTGTTTTTAGTAGAAACTTTGTTTCAACATGGTAGTCAGGCTGGTCTCAAACTCCTGACCTCGTGATCTGCCCGCCTCGGCCTCCCAAAGTGCTGGGATTACAGGCATGTGCCACTGCGCCCAGCCTCTTCCATTATTTATCACATTGACTTTTCTGTAAAATAAATATACACATATTTTTAAATCAATTACAAACGTACAGAATGGAGAGGAGCACTTTAACAGCCATCACATGATTGGGATTTTGTTGACAGTAAACTAAAAGCTCCATGGGTCCCCGCCTTTTTTTTTGATAGTGTCTCACTCTGTCACTAGAGTGCAGTGGCATGATCACAGCACCCTACGGGCTAGACCTCCTAGGCTCAAGCAATCTTCCCGCCTCGGTTTCCTGAATAGCTAGGGCTACAAGTGCGTGCCACTATGCCTGGCCTGGTCCGCATAAGTCCCCTCTTCTCCGAGCCAAACATCTTCACACCTTCCGGTGATCATTAGTGGAGAGGCCTGTGAGAGGTCAATGTCCCTTAAATCGAGGGCTCCAAATTGGTCGTGGCTCTCCAGATGGCCCAAACAGCTTGTTTCAGTTCACAAACATTTATTGAGCATCTACTACATTCCAGGCACTGTGGTTATTATAAATCACTGAGACATTGTTTGCCCTAAAGGAGCTACATGTATTTAGTAACAGCTTCACAATACGTGACGAATAAGATAGCACTAATCCACATTTGACAGCAAAAGTACCAAAAAAGAAAGAAAGAAAAAGAAGAGAGAGAAAGAAAAGAGGTGAAAGAGGGCGGATGCGGTGGTGTAATCCTAGTACTTTGGGAGGCCGAGGTGGGTGGATCACGAGGTCAGCAGTTCGATCCAGCCTGATCAACATGGCGAAACCCCGTTTCTACTAAAAATATACAAAATTTAGCGGGACCTGGGGGCGCGCGCCTGTAATCCCAGCTACTCAGGAGGTTGAGGCAGGAGAATCGCTTGAACCCGGGAGGCGGAGGTTGCAGTGAGCGGATATCGCGCCGCTGCACTTCAGCCTGGGCGATAGAGCCAGACTCCGTCTCAAAAAAAAAAAAAGAAAAAGAAAAAGAGAAAGAAAAGAAAAGGAAAAAGAAAAAGGAAGGAAGGAAAGAAGGAAGGAAGGGAGGGAGGGAGGCAAGGCGCGAAGGCGAGAAGAAAAGGAAAGGGAAGGGAAGGCGGAAGGGAAGCCGGAAGGGAAGGGAAGGGAAAGAAAGAAGCGTATTTAGGAAGTATCGCGTTGATGTCAGGCCACGGAACCTCTGGTGACCGGGTAGTGTAACTCCGTCTTTGGTAGCTCCCCGCCCACACAGCCGGGACCCGCGGCCTTCGAGGACATGGACAGGGCCAGTCTCGCCCCGTCGCGGCCAATGCCCCAACCACACGCAGTTCACAGGAGTCCTGGCTCCCATTGGCTGCAGCGGGAAACGGTGAACCAATCCTCATAGGCCTTAACGCCCCCCTCTCGGGGTCACTTCCGCCTCTGGGGTCAGGCTCCGCCCAGCTTGCCCGGCATCACTCGCGGCGTTGGAGTCAACATGGAGGAGTACGCGCGAGAACCTTGGTGAGACTCACCGCTGTCTTTGCATTTCTCTTGCCCGCCTGCCCACTGCCCTCCTTCTCCCCTGTCCATGCTCCCAAGGTGCAAGCCAGACTCAACCGCAGCCTTGTCGACTTGGGCCTGGTAACTGTGGGCAGTGCAGTCTTTCACGGCCAGTCGGCTTCTTAGCCCTGTACCCACTACCTTCCCGGCCTCGTGAGCCTCGCTCTCCTAACCCATCACCCGTGTGATCCTGTGGTGGATGGTAGAGAGGTCCAGACTTGAGTTTGATAGAACCTTGGAACCTCCTCCCAACGCAGGGCATAATCGACCTTATGCGGGGCCAGTTATAATCCCCTCTGTTCGCCGAGGTGACCTTGGGCGCGTCCCTCCGTCTCGCCTTGCTCAGTTCCTGCGTTGAGGAACTGAAGAATAAGCATTTGAGGGAGTGTCATTCTTGAGGTTTTACTTGTATCATGATAGGTGTCCGCAGAGCAAAGCATTTTAAATGAATGGAACATAGATTTTAGCCAAGGGGTCTGGATAAGCTTCTTTAGACAGTGGGGCCTTGTTTTTCTCCTTGGAATCCTTTCTTGGAGGTAGAGGGGGACAAAAATTACCTGGGAAATAGGAAGAGGTAATAGCCTGTGTTCTCCGAAAAGCCATGGACAGAAATTCATTCTTTCATCCAGCGTTTATTGAGTGTGAATAAACCAGACACATAGATAATTATAAAACGATGTAATTGCTGTCAGAAGTCTCAGGTTGCCAGAGTTTAAAGTTTCTGGGGTTATAAGTAAAAAATCAAATCTTGATATTTCGATTAATCATCTGTTTTATTGTGTAAGAGCAGCAACCAAGATGTCCTCAATTTGTGAAAGTGCCCAGGACCTTGAGTTATTACTCTGTTATCCTAGCCTTGAATTATTACTCTGCTTTCCTAGCCTTGTTGCCTGTTTCGTGTTCCCCTCTCTCCTAAATGGCATACAAAATACAAGTTTTAGGGTCTCCTGGCTCTTCAAACTTTTCTTCTTCAAAGCAGTTATCCTCCATTCTGGATTGTGCTCAGATATGGAGGACTCAGCACACTGTAAATAGCTGTTTGATGTAGTACAATGATACAGGTTAGCAGAGGATTAAAATATTTAACTATGTTGAGTTAGAGATCTTAGAAAAATAAGGCCGGGCGTGGTGGATTACACCTGTAATCCCAGCACTTTGGAAGGCCGAGGCGGATCACGAGGTCAGAAGTTTGAGACCAGCTTGGCCTATATGGTGAAACCCCGTCTGTACTAAAAATACAATTATTTGCCGGGCATGGTGGCACACGCCTGTAGTCCCAGCTACTCGGGAGGCTGAGGCAGGAGAATTGCTTGAACCTGGGAGACAGGTTTCAGTGAGCCAAGATCGAGCTATTGCACTCCAGCCTGGGTGATAGAGTGTGACTCCATCTCAAAAAAAAAAAAAAAAAATTCTTAGAAAAATACTGGGTTTTCATTTACTAAATCATTAGGTAACCCCTTAACATTCAGTACGTATGTCCTGAAACAATATAATCAGTTACCTGGTTAGCTTTGTAGTCAAAACTGCTTTGATTTTTTGACTGCCCTGTTTGGTTACAGCATTTCCTCAAGTCATTTTATAGGCCAAATATTTATTGGTTGCAGTGGGTCCTGCAATATAATCTGTTCCATTATAATCCTTACTGTATTAGCAAAGATTTTATGGTTTGTGAATGAGAAACGTGGTCTTTTTTTTCCCCCTCTGTTCTTAGCCCATGGCGAATTGTGGATGACTGTGGTGGGGCCTTTACGATGGGTACCATTGGTGGTGGTATCTTTCAAGCAATCAAAGGTTTTCGCAATTCTCCAGTGGTAAGTGGGTGAATGGTCTTATTTTATCATCACTTGAAGTGTGGGTTTGATATTACTGGTGGTCCCATCAGTGGCTTAGAAATATACTTCTAATATATTTTTTGTTGCTTCTTTTTTTTTGTTATAGGGAGTAAACCACAGACTACGAGGGAGTTTGACAGCTATTAAAACCAGGGCTCCACAGTTAGGAGGTGAGCAGAATTTTCATTTTAAGTGAACTGTTTTTTTCTGTTTATTTGAAGATGGAGCTATTTTTATTTTTAGATTATAACAATTAATGATTTTAGTTTGGTCTAACAGTTTGTCACAAACATATATCCCTATAGTTTCTTCTTGATTTGTGTTTGTTTGAAAAATTAACCTGAATTATGATAGCCATTTGAAAATCTTATCTCCGTCCCTCAGATACTCTGTGATTTTTTTTCCCGCTTCTCCAGAAGAAAGTGTGTTTAAAGCTCAGGTTTGAGGCTGGGCGTGGGTCGTAATCCCAGCACTTTGGGAAGCCAAGGTAGGCGGATCACCTGAGGTCGGGAGTTCAAGACCAGCCTGACTAACATGGAGAAACACCATCTCTACTAAAAATACAAAATTAGCTGGGCATGGTGGCGCATGCCTGTAATCCCAGCTACTCAGGAGGCTGAGGCAGGAGAATCACTTGAACCCGGGAGGCAGAGGATGCAGTGAGCCAAGATCACGCCATTGCACTCCAGCCTGGGCAACAAGAGCGAAACTCTGTCTCAAAAAAAAAGCTCCATCCTGGCTAACACGGTGAAACCCTGTGTCTACTAAAAAATACAAAAAATTAGCCGGACGAGGTGGCGGGTGCCTATAGTCCCAGCTACTCTGGAGGCTGAGGCAGGAGAATGGTGTAAACCCGGGAGGCGGAGCTTGCAGTGAGCCGAGATCCGGCCACTGCACTCCAGCCTGGGCGACAGAGCGAGACTCCGTCTCAAAAAAAAAAAAAAAAAAAAAAAAACACGTGAGGTTTGTGAGTCAGGAACGATAGCTTCTGAGGTAACATAAAGCTGAAGAGAATTTGATCTGAAGGATTGGGGTTTCATGCAGGAGAAAACCAATCAAGCTGACTGGGCTGTTCTCTAAGGTTAGCTTTGGGACATTGTGCAGAGGTCATTGCAAAATTTGAAAAGATTCTATTCATTGTACTTTGTAAACTTGGTTATTCAGAAGCTGGGAAAAGGGAGGTGACAAAAAATGTTCGTAGATTATATTCACTTACAAAGGTATAGTCAGGGCTGGGTGCGATGGCGCATGCCAGTAATCCCAGCACTTTGGGAGGCTGAGTTGATGCGATAGCTTGAGCTCGAGAGTTGGAGACCAGCCTGGGCAGCATGGCTGCCCATTTCCCCAGAAAAATGCAAAAATTAGCCAGGCGTTGCGGCATGTGCCTGTGGTCCCAGCTAGTAGGGAGGCTCACAGGGACAGATCAGTTGAACCCGGGAGGTTGAGGCTGCAGTGTGATTGCGCCACTGCACTGCAGCCTGGGTGACAGAGTGAGACCCTGTCTCAAACAGCAACAAAAACAAACAGACAACACAAGGGTATAGTTAGATTGGAGAGACCGTATATAAGACATGAAAAAGACTTAATAATTCAGGCTTTCCTTAGAAGTTTTGGGTATCAAAATAATCTTCTCTTTGCTTTTCTTAACTCTCACAGTAATGAAGAAGTTAGTACTATTATTATCTCTCATTTTCCAGATGAGGAAATTTAGGCCCTGAGGGTTGAGGTAATGTTGTATCTTTTTCCTTTTTTTCCTCTGTAATAATTATCTACCCTGGAAAGTAATTAGTAACTAATTTCTGTTTTGGCGTTGGTGGTTATTGTGTTGTTCAAGAATGATAAGTGGTATTAAAAGTTCTCACCAAACCCTGAATCTCTAGTATATGCAGAAGCCATATAGGTTTTTGCTTGTTTTTTGAGAGGCTGCTTCTATCACCTTATGCATTTTCAGTAAGTTAAAATACCATCAGATAATTGTCACTGCCAAAAGAAACCTGTGAAGACATAACAACTAAATTATTGCTGGGCGTGGTGGCTCACGCCTGTAATCCCAGCACTTTGGGAGGCCGAGACAGGTGAATCACAAGGTCAGAAGATCTGAGACCATCCTGGCTAACGTGGTGAAACCCTGTCTCTACTAAAAATACAAAAAAATTATCCGGGCGTGGTCGAGGGCACCTGTAGTCGGGAAGCTGCAGCAGGAGAATGGCATGAACCTGGGAGGCAGAGCTTGCAGTGAGCCCAGATCCCGCCACTGTACTCCAGCTGGGGTGACAGTGAGACTCTGTCTCAAAAAATAAATAAATAAAACTAAATGTAATGTGGTACTGTGGAACAGAAAAAGGACATTATCAAACTAAGGAAATCTGAATTAAGTATGGACTTGAGTTAATAGTAATGTGTCAACCAGGCACAATGGCTCACACCTGTAATCCCAGTACTTTGGGAGGCTGAGGCAGTGGATTACCTAAGGTTGGGAGTTCAAGACCATCCTGGCCAACATGGTGAAACCTCATCTCTACTAAAAATACAAAAATTAGCCGGTTGTGGTGGTGGCCTGTGGGTTATTAGCTGTGACAAATGCTCCATGCTAATGCTGATGTTGGTAATAGGGAAAACTGGAAAAGTTTGTGTTTTCTTACAAAGCAGGTGAAACAGAGGAAGGGTGAGTGGTGGTGTGAGTGAATTGGAATTACCCATTTCAAATCCTTGAGGTTAGCCTTTTTTAGGAAGCTATTGAGAAGTTTTTATGGTATTTTAAATTCTAAAAATACTACAATGGTTTTTTTAATTAATTTGGTGAGCATTTACTGAGGAATTCAGATCAAGGTGCAGGGACAGGCAGTATGGGAAAATCATAGTTGTGTTCTGAGAGGTATTATGTTTTCTTTTTTTTTTTTTTTTTTGAGATGGGGTCACCCAGGCTGGAGTGCAGTGGCACAATCTTGGCTCACTGCAACCTCTGCCTCCCAGGTTCAAGTGATTCTCCCGCCTCAACTTCCAGAGTAGCTGGAATTATAGGCACGCACCACCACAGCCTGGATAATTTTTGTATTTTTAGTAGAAACGAGGTTTCACCATATTGGTTAGGCAGGTCGCAAACTCCCTATCTCAGGTGATCTGCCTATCTCAGCCTCCCAAAGTGCTGAGATTACAGGCATGAGCCACCACTCCTGGCCTTAGGTCTTATATTTTCTTTCTTTCTTTTTTTTTCTTTTTTTGAAACAGAGTTTCACTCTTGTTGCCTAGGCTAGGGTGCAGTGACGGGATCTCGGCTCATGTCAACTTCCGTCTCTCTGGTTCAAGCAATTCTCCATCCTCAGCCTCCCAAGCAACTGGGATTATAGGCGCATGCTGCCTCTCCTGGCTAAGTTTCTTGTATTTTAGTAGAGATGGGGTTTCACTGTGTTGCCCAGGCTGGTCTCGAACTCCTGAGCTCAGGCAGTCCACCCGCCTGTGCCTCCCAAAGTGCTAGGATTACAGGCATGAGCCATCCTGCCTGGCCTAGGTCTTATATTTTCATAGAGAAAGTAAGATAGGATTTTGACATGTCCCTGTTACTCTTTGAGCACTTTCTTTCATTTTTGGAATAAGACATTTAGGCTCATCTTGTACTTTTCATGCCCTAGCTGTGGGCAGGGCAGCTTTTCCTGTCGTAGCCATTTCTCCAAAGAGCCCTGGTTCCTTTTAGTTGCGAATGGTATTTAGGGCCAGGAGTGGTGGTTCACACCTATAATGCCAGCACTTTGGGAGGCCAAGGCAGGAGGATGGCTTGAGCCCAGGAGTTCAACACCCTTGACAACTTAGAGAGAATGCCTCTCTACAAAAAAAGTTTTTTAAAGAAAGGAAAAATCAAGAATGGTATACAATCTATATTTCTGTATATCTATACATATTGAAAATCACAAGTTTACTTTGATATCTTGTATTTCTAATTCAGCCCCACAGGATTCATTATTTTCTTCCTTTTCATATGTATACCTGCCTTCTTAACCTGCTTGGGCTATGGTACCCCACAACAGGCTGCCCTTTGTCAGGGTATACTCTCACACTCCATGCCAGGCTGCATTCCTTGAGAATCTCTCTTGCTTAGGCTCTAAAACCTTGTTCTAGGCTGTCCAGGTGTGTACACATTCGCCTCATCTGGCTCTGGATCCTCACACCAGGCTACCCTTTCTGGATCTTCTCCTCATCCTGCTTAGACTCAAACTCTCTATTCTCATCAGTAGCCAAAATTTATTCTGGCAGTGATTTTCAGGGGAGGGCTCTCCTGAGATTTTAGGCTCTCGTGAGGAAATGGGAGGGTCTTGTCAGAAAATTTTAGTGAGGTAATTCTAATATACCTAGACATCATAGCTGTCTCCCAGGGCATAGAACTACTGAGAAGAAATAACTGGTTTATTTTTACATAGGATGTGATATCTAATATTGGACTAAAAATGAGGACGCTTATGCTATACTCCACTGGTACTATCCACTAGATTTAATTGATAATGTGAGAATTGGAAAAAGATCCTGGAGATGCTCTGGTTCAGACATTTGGTGGAACTCCATTTATTGCTCTTGTTAACACAAGTTACCTCCTACCCTAATATTTCAAAGGGTAAAGATTAAAGTGACTGCTTTGTACAGCTTTTCTTCTTTCTTTCTTTTCTTTTTTTGGCTAGTCAAGTGGAGCAGTGAAAATGGAGACAACAAAGAAAGGACCAGCCACTTTTTTCTTTAATCCTATTAAATATAATAACTTTATATGATGCACGTCTTACGTATTCATTTTAGAAGACTTGGAAAATATAGAAAAACACAAAGGAATGAAATCATGTCACGTCTTCCAGAAATACTGACAATTAAAACCTTAGTGTTGTCTTTTTAGATTTTGTTTGTACTTGTATATGTATGTATGTGTGTGGGTCTTTGTTTATTTTGCGATACTGTTTTTGTATTTAGATAGAGTTTAAGTGCAAAGTAATCTGCTGATTTAAGGTTGTTTTAAATTCATATCTGAGGAATAAAGGATGGAAAGGCAATTTCCATCCCTTTGATGTTCCATAATTCTAGCTATTTATATCATTCATTTGCCCCTTCAGCATGTATTGGCTTAAACCTGAAATACATTCCAGAATAGCTGGATTTCTTTTGTTTTCCCATCGATAATTTTCATAGAGTAGATGCTCAATGACATATAATGAAGAAAGGCCAAAAATAGAGGTAAGTGAAGCTATGAAAGAAAAGGAAAAGGAAAGAGGAAGCAGAGTAGTTTGATTTTGTTTATTGCTACTTAAACCAGAGAGATAGGTTGTTCTGGAAAGGTGATTTGCTTGTTTTTACACATATGCAACCTGACTCTTTTAGGCTTGGCTTATTTCTTTTTTGTTTGTTTGTTTGAGATGGAGTGTCGCTCTTGTTGCCCAAGCTGGAGTGCAGTGGCACGATCTCGGCTCACTGCAACCTCTGCCTCCCGGGTTCAAGCGATTCTCCTGCCTCAGCCTCCCCAGTAGCTGGGATTACAGGTGCCCGCCACCACACCTGGCTAATTTTTATATTTTTAGTAGAGACAGGGTTTTGCCATGTTAGCCAGGCTGGTCTTGAACTCCTGGCAGCCTCCCAAAGTGCTGGAATTACAGGTGTGAGCCACGGTGCCCGGCTGGCTTATTTCTTTTAGGCTTTGGGCCATTGCTAATTTTCCAGCTGATACAATACAATCCAGCTTTATTCAAAAGATAAGTATTCTGACTCTTGTTCAGTGTTTATTCAAACTTGTGTTTGCATGTATTGAACTATAAGAGTTTTGAGAATATAGTGAGTGTTGTTTTTGACCATCATATTTTAAATGGAAGATGAAATTTAAATTAGTATTTGCTTGTTTCTTTTTATAATACAATAGGTAGCTTTGCAGTTTGGGGAGGCCTGTTTTCCATGATTGACTGTAGCATGGTTCAAGTCAGAGGAAAGGAAGATCCCTGGAACTCCATCACAAGTGGTGCCTTAACGGGAGCCATACTGGCAGCAAGAAGTAAGTAGTCATTATAGAAGTCACACTTTTTTGAAAACCTCATCTGCCTTAATTGAATGACATCTGTAATATATAAAACTGATTATTGACCAGGCACATTGGCTCATGATGGTAATTCCATCGCTTTGGGAGGCTGAGGCAGGTAGATTGCATGAGCCCAGGAGCTTAAAATCAGCCTGGGCAATATAGGAAGACCTGGTCTCTACAAAAAAAAAATTTAATTAGCTGGGTGTGTTGGTGCATGCCTATAGTCCCAGCTACTCATGAGGCTGAGGCAAGAGGATCCCTTGAGCCACCACACTCTATCCTGGGCAACAGAGCGAGACCCTGCTTCAAAAATAATAATAATTATAAAAAACGAGCATTGCTTAATTTGGCATAGCATAAATATACAGTATATGGTGATTTGAAAAAAAAAAGTAAGGGGATCTCTTTATTTGCAATATTTGAGAATAAGAAAGCATGGAATTCTAACCCATATATTACAGTGGTTGAGAGCACTTCAGGTCCCAGTTCTGCCATTAATTAGCTGTATGACTGGTCAGTTTATCAAACTTTATGCTATAATTTCTTCACCAGTAATCTGGAGTTAGTTAATAATTATACCTGCCATATAGAATTGTTATGAATAAGGAAGTTAGAACCATCTTCTGAATCCTCAGGACAGAGAGCAAACCAGAATTCCTTTGAGCTTAGTGGTTTAGACCAAGGGGTTTGCAAACTATTTCTGTAAAAGGCCAGATAGTGAATATTTTAGGCTTTGTGGGCTATGTGGTCTTTGTCATAGCTACCTAACTCTGCTGTCATAGCATGAAAGCAGCCATGGATAATACATAAACGAAACAGTATGGCTGTGTTTCAGTAAAACTTTATTTTTTTTCTTGAGACGGAGTCTCACTTTCACCCAGGCTGGAGTTCAGTGGCACAACCTCGGCTCACTGCAACATCCGCCTCCCGGGTTCAAGCAATTCTGCCTCAGCCTCCTGAGAAGCTGGGACTACAGGTGCCCACCACCACTTCCGGCTAATTTTTGTATTTTTAGTAGAGACGGGGTTTCACCATGTGGGCCAGGCTGGTCTCAAACTCCTGACCTCGTGATCTGCCCACCTTGGCCTCCCAAAGTGCTGGGATTACAGGCATGAGCCACCACACCTGGCCTTTCAGTAAAACTTTATTTACAAAAATAGGCAGCGGGTGGCCTGTGGGCGGCCGTAGTTTACTGACTCTGGGTCTTAGGCAGTAAGAGTTTGGGAATTGGAGGAGCATGTAGCCATATGGACAGTTCTCTTCTTTACTATCTCTTACAGTAAACTAGATTTCTGTAAAAAATAATCTCTTCGTTATTAATGTCTTCAGATGGACCAGTGGCCATGGTTGGGTCAGCTGCAATGGGTGGCATTCTCCTAGCTTTAATTGAAGGAGCTGGTATCTTGTTGACAAGATTTGCCTCTGCACAGTTTCCCAATGGTGAGTCTTCTTTTTGCTTAAAACTATAGCTCAAACGTTTTGGAATGGTTTTCTGATGTTAAGAAAGAACATACTTTGCCTGCCAAAATGTGTGGTATGTATTAATATGCTGTGGTTCATGAGGACTGTGATAATAGGTAAAAAATGAACATGTTACATTTAGCCACAGTAACAAAAATTTTTTGTATAAATTTGCTGTTGATCTTTCTTTATAGTACGTAGGGTTTATCAGTGCTCATGTATTGCAAGAAATGTCTGATCATTTTAAAGGGGCTTGAAGAATGGATCTGCAGATGTGTAGCAATGATGATGGTCAATTGACAATTTAGTATTGTATAGCTACATGCCAGACACTGTTTTATGTAGTGAACAGGACAGTCCCTGCCCTCAAGGACTTACATTCTGGTAGGGGGAGACAGACTAACACATTAACAGATAAATTAGCTTATTTTAGATAGTGTTGCTTGTTTTGAAGAAGAGAGTAGTGAAAAGTGACTTATATTTGGGAAGGTCACTTTAAGGTTCACAGGAGAAAATTTAGAATCTTAGAAAATTTGTTAGCCTGGCTAATTTTATATTCGTTTAATTCGTTGTCTGTTTTTCTTCCTATCTGATGCATAGGGTAATAATTAAATTGTGGGCTGAATGATCATTACATGGTTATAGAATGTGCTCTCAGCGATTAGCCAGGCATAATGGCTCACACCTGTAGTCCTAGCTACACAGGAGGCACGAGAATCAGTTGAACCTGGGAGATGGAGGTTGCAGTGAGCCGAGATCACACCACTGCACTCTAGCCTGGTCGACGGCGCGAGACTCTGTCTCAAAATGAAACAAAACAAAAAACTTCTGTCAAGATGGTCCATTCCTGTAGATGGTCCATTCGTGTAGTTCAGCTACTCAGGAGGCTACTCATTTGAACCCAGGAGTTCAAGGCCAGCCTGGACAACACAGCAAGACCCCATCTCTTAAAAAAAAAATTTTTCAGTGTCTAAATGAAAATATCCCTTGACAGTGGAAGTATGCAGAAAGATATTGTGAGGTGGCCAGGCACGGTGGCTCACACCTGTAATCCTAGCATTTTGGGAGGCTGAGGCAGGCAGATCACTTGAGGTCAGGAGTTTGAGAGCAGCCTGACCAACATGGTGAGACCGCATCTCTACTAAAAATACAAAAATTAGCCGGGCGTGGTGGCACACGCCTATAATCCCAGCTCCTCAGGAGGCTGAGGCACAAGAATCACTTGAACCTGGGAGGCGGAGGTTGCAGTGAGCTAAGATCACGCCATTGTACTCTAGCCTGGGTAACAGAGCAAGACTTTGTCTCAAAAATATATATATATATATATATGTGTGTGTGTGTGTGTATGTATGTATGTATACATACATATATATACGTGTGTGTGTATATATGTGTATATATAGAGAGAATAATAGTAGTGAAAATTTGACCTGGCATTTGGGAAAGAAACATGCAGAAGAGTGAGACATGTTGAAAATTATTTTTGGAGCTTGGAAAACATTCAGCATGAAGTTAGGAATAGATCATACATCCCAATTTGCTTTGATTTCCCTGAGGCACCTAGCAAGAGATTCAGTATCTTTTTGGCACAATTTTCAAGTGCACTGCTTGTTAAATGCCAATGAGGTAATCTGGATGACCCTGCAGACCCTCTCACCTTCTGTTTGTTTTTCATTCCTTCTGAGTTAACACTCTGTTGGGATGGTCACTTTCCAATTTTGTTTTGACTGCCTCAGTGTGAAAGACTTTACATAAAACATCAAAAGAGTTCTATATTTGCAGAAATTCAGAAATGTATATAGCAAAAACTTAAATAGTTACATTGTCTCATAGAAATTAGCCTTGAGTACTTTGTTTTAGGCTTTTTTCCTGAGAGGGAATCTCCTTTTTATTTTATTTATTTATTTTAATTTTTTTTGAAACAGAGTCTCTGTGACCCAGGCTGGAGTGCAGTGATGCAATCTTGGCTCACTGCAGCCTTAACCTCCTGGGCTCAAGTGATCTTCCCACCTCAGCCTCTTGAGCAGCTGGGACTATAGGTGTGCACCGCCACACCCAGCTAATTTTTATGTTTTTTGTAGAGATGAGGTCTCTGCCCCTGATCCTGAACCCCTGGGCTCAAGCGATCCTCCTGCCTCGGCCTCCCAAGTTCTGGGATTAGAGGGGTGAGCCACCACGCCCAGCTGGAATCTCCTTTTGAGTAATTAAAACTCAGCATTTATATAGAAGCAGCCAGAAAGTGTTTCTGAAAAGCTGTGTAGGGGGGAATCTTTGAAGAGTTAATTATATTTTTCCAGTGAACTTACATGAAAATGTTTGTTTTTTGTTTTTTTTTTTGAGACAGAGTCTCGCTGTGTCACCCAGGCTGGATTGCAGTGGCGCAATCTCAGCTTACTGCAACCTCTGCCTCGGGGATGCAAGTGATTCTTCTGCCTCAGCCTCCTGAGTAGCTGGGACTACAGGTGCGCGCCATCATGCCTGGCTAATTTTTTTTTTTGTATTTTTAGTAGAGACACGGTTTCACCATATTGGCCAGGCTGATCTCGAACTCCTGACCTCGTGATCCGCCTGCCTTGGCCTCCCAAAGTGCCAGGAATGTGAGCCATCACGCCCAGCGAAAAGTTTTTAAAACAGTGGGAAAAGAGTAGATAGAACTGTATTTAAATGGCAACAGTGATTTTCTTTGGCTTATCTTTTTTTTTGTTTTTGTTTTTGTTTTTTTTGTTGTTTTTAGAAGAGTCTTGCTCTCTCGCCCAGGCTGGTGTGCAGTGGCGCAGTCTTGGCTCACTGCAACCCCCGCTTCCCGGGTTCAAGTGATTCTCCTGCCTCAGCTCCTGAGTAGTTGGGATCACAGGCACCCACCACCATGCCCGGCTAATTTTCATATTTTCAGTAGAGATGGGGTTTCTCCATGTTGGTCAGGCTGGTCTCAAACTCCTGACCTCAGGTGATCCGCCCACCTCAGCCTCCCAAAGTGCTGAGATTACAGGTGAGAGCCACCGTGCCCGGCTCCGGCTTATCTTTTTTACCCAGTTTCTTCTTAAGTTTTCTGTAATTAACAGATAATTGCATTTATAATGAAATAAAAATATATGAGTGAAATACTTTGAAAGCTTCAGAGAATTCTACCACTGCTCTCTTTCTCTCTTCCAGATATTTTTTAGTCTATTTCAGTTTTTCTTAAAGGAGAAAAGATTGATTCATCCCCTAAAAGTCCTTTTTTTTTTTTAAGCACTTTGTTTTTCTTAGTTCACAGGCTCTCCTGTCCCTTGAAAATGAAAACTGCAAGACTTTGTTCAACAGCAAGCTATGTGGTGTCTTCCCATTTCAGAACTCATTCCCTACTTAATTGGTTACATAAATTGGATTACCAAGTTCTCTTAAAACATGACTAAGATACTTATACTTTGTGAAAATAATTTTAAATAGCTCCTGAAAAATATGACAAGAAGTGGGAGAAACTCTTCTAATCTTGATATATGGCAGCTTGTTACAGCAATTGCTTTAAAAACTTGAAGTTTGCTTCTTGCTATAATTAATCTGTCTGACTTTGCTAGCATAGTGTTTGAGAACTGTTCATTCTGGAGCATAGCAAGCCAGTCTGTCATATGTTATACTAAATTTGAAGGTTCTCCAGTACTCTAATGGGAATTAGTTAGATCTATAAAGAAATTAGGGTTATAGCTATAATTTAGCATATTTTTTTTTTGTTGATTGATTTACTCTCTATAGAGACTCATTCCTTTTAATTATATAATATTCAGGTGATTTTTAAATCCTTTTTATTTCTCACTTGCAGGTCCTCAATTTGCAGAAGACCCCTCCCAGTTGTCTTCAACTCAGTTACCTTCCTCACCTTTTGGAGACTATCGACAATATCAGTAGGACTTCTTTCCTAGGATTTCTTTAACAGAACGAGTTGTAGTTCGAGAAGGATTTCAGAAGATCAAGTTGTACCGTCTGTTTTTAAAACCATAGGTGGGACAGCTATGGCCAATAGGCTATAAAGAGACATTTAGCACTTTTTTCTATTTAAAGGAACAAGGGGGGAGGGGTGCTAAAAGATAATACATTTATTTATTCACACTTGAATTACATCTGTGATCAAAATAAATGTTTAAATCGCTAAAGGAAAATACAATAAGTGCTTGAAAGATGAAGGACCAAAGGGCCAAAAAACAGTAAAATATGATCATCATCTCCTTGGGGACTTCTCTGCCTGGTTTTGTGTGTTCTGCTATTCAGACAATAAAAAGCTGGTGGAACTTACTCTTTCTTTTAAGATAAGTTGTAGACTTCGACGTTTCATGCTCATGTACTTCAAATAATGCATGTTTTGTAGTTAGTCCCTTATCACTTGAAGTGACTTATGAGAATTATGCAGAGTCAACATGGATCATTTCACAGTGAGATGCTTTATGGATTGAAGGATATGGTAAAATATTTATACTTTACTTTGAAAGTAAAATATACTATGTCTTGGTTTTGAGGATATTGGATACAAAACTCTTTTCCTTTAGGGCTGCTGAGTCTTGATTCCTGATCATCAGAAATTTCACCAGAAACAACTTGCTTCCAATATACCCAATTCTATATGAAGAATTCATGGAGAGTGTACTGGCACTGGAAGAGTTTAGTGTTTCTTGTATGCTTGAAAATAAAATATGTACTGTTTTGAATGTGTTCCAAGTCCTCTGAAGCTGATCTTCATAAAGGATGTGTTTTGGGGTCTGGTTGGGCCTAGAAAATGGATGAGGACTTCAGAACAGGTCATTTTCCTGATAATATTGGAAGTGACATGCGGCCTTATAGGAGGCATGATGTTAGTTAATTCCACATTTGCCTACATCTGTGGGAAATGGAGAACAAAGCCATGTGGGTACTGTAAACACACGTTTATCTTTTGGCCCAGTGCCATACATATGGTAGGCATTTAATTACTGATTGTGTTTGGATAATTTGGGAATTTTTTACTGTGGTAAAATATATATAAAATAATACTTACTGTTTGTAAGTGTATAATTCAGTGGCATTGAAATACAGTCATAAGATTGTATAACAGCCATCACTATGTATACCCAAAATGTTCTCATTATCATAAACATAAACTGTGTTTTATTTTTAGAGACAGGGTCTTCCTCTGTCACCCAGGCTGGAATGCAGTGGCACAGTCATAGCTTACTGCAGCCTCGAACTCCTGGCCTCGAACCATCCTTCTGCCTCAGCCTCCCACACACCATGCTGGGATTACAGGCATGAGCCACCATGTCCAGCCTTCACCAACATAAACTCTGTACTTGTTGAATAATAACTTCCCATTCTTTCCTCACTGCAACCGCTAGTAACCACAATTCGGCTTTCTGTCTGTGAATTTGCCTTTTCTGGGTACTTTATATAAGGGAAATCATAAAATACTTGTTTTTGGGTGTCCGTCTTAATGCACTTAGCATGTTTTAAGGTCCATCCATGTTGTAGTATGTAGCAAATTAATTTTTATGGCTGAATAATACTCCATAGTGTGCATATACCACATTTTCTTTGATGATCAGTTAGGTTGTTTCTACCTTTTGGCTGTTAAGATTTATGGTGCTATGAACATTGGTGTGCAGCTATCTGTTTTCAACTCATTTTTGGTTCTTTTGGATATACACAAAAGAGTGGGATTACTGAGTCATGTGGTAGTTCTAGGTTTAACTTTTTTTTTTGGTAAACAGAGTCTGACCGGGTGCAGTGGCTTACATCTGTAATCCCAGCACTGGGAGGCCAAGGCGGGCAGATCACAAGGTCAGGAGTTCGAGACCAGCCTGGCCAATATGGTGAAACCCCGTCTCAAATAAAAATACAAAAATTAGCCAGGCATGGTGGCGGGTGCCTGTAGTCCTAGCTACTTGGGAGCCTGAGGCAGGAGAATCGCTGGAACCTGTGAGGTGGAGGTTGCAGTGAACAGAGATTGCGCCACTGCACTCCAGCCTGGGTGACAGAGTGAAACTCTGTTTCAAAAAAAAAACAAACCAAAAAGACAGAGAGTCTTGTTCTGTTGCCCAGGCTGGAGTACAGTGGCATAATCATAGGTCACTACAGCCTTGACCACCTAGACTCAAGGGATCCTCCCGCCTCAGCCTCCCAAGCAGCCACTTACTACAAGTGTGCACCCCATCTCTGGCTAAGTTTACATTTTATAGAGATAATGTCTCACTATGTTGCCCAGGCTAGTCTCCAGCTCCTGGCCTCAAGTGATCTTCCTGCTTCAGCCTCCCAAAATGCTGGGGTTATGAGTATGAACCACCATCCCCAGCCAAATTGTTTAATAAATATTCTAAAACTAAATTTGGTATACTAGAGTAGAGCTCAAGATAAAAAGTAAAAAAACTAAATTGTTTTAATTACTAAAATAACTGGAGAAACAAGCAGATTAGGAAGGAGGTTTTCCCTAGGTCTTTACTGGAATAGTGAAATTAGTTTCTCACTTTTAAGGTTGAAATGCCCATCAGAAATACCCCATCTGTTTTTCTTTGTATCTGACACCTTGTGCCAAATTGGCATACAATAGTGGATTACTTTTCTTTTTTTTTTGGAGACAGAGTCTTGCACTGTTGCCCAGGCTGGAGTGTAGTGGCGTGATTCCAGCTCACTGCAACCTCTGCCTCCCAGGTTCAAGCGATTCTGCCTCAGCCTCCCAAGTAGCTGGGATTACAGGTGCCCAGCACCATGTCCAGCTAATTTTTTTGTATTTTTAGTACCAACCGGGTTTCACCATGTTGGCCAGGCTGGTCTCGAACTCTTGATCTCATGATTCACCCGCCTCGGCCTCCCAAAGTGCTGGGATTACAGGCGTGAGCCACTGTGCCCAGCACTTTCTTCTTTAAATAGAGACAGGGTTTTGCCACGTTGCCCTGGCTGGTCTTAAACTCCTGGACTCAAACAATCCTCCCACCTTGACCTCCCAAAGTGCTGGCATTACAGGCATGAGCCACTGTGCCTGGTCGAAATAGTGGATTTCTGAATCAGGATTTGGAAGACATGGGTACAGCTGCACCTGCTATTGAAAGTGCATCTGTTTTCACATAGGAAATGTCTGCAAATTATGAAAGCATGGTCATAGCTCCACCCTGTGGCATGTTACTTTTAGTTAAAATTCATTGTCCAAATTCTATTCACGCCAGGCCCAGTGGCTCATGCCTGTAATCCCAGCACTTTGGGAGGCTGAGGTGGGTGGATCACTTGAGGCTGAGACTTGAGGTTTCACCATGTTGGTCAGGCTGATCTCGAACGCCTAACCTCAGGTGATCTGCCCGCCTCGGCCTCTCAAAGTGCTGGGAGCCACTGCATCTGGCCTCTAATAATAATAGTAATAATAATAAGATAATTCAATCTGTTAGATCATGGGTGAGACCTTGTCTCTACTAAAATTCAAAAAATTTAGCTGGGCATGCTGGCATATATTTGTAGCCCCAGCTGCTCAAAGGGGCTGAGGCAGCAGGATTCCTTGATCCTGAGAAATGGAGGGAGCAGTAAGCCGAGATCACACCACTGCACTCCAGCACACCACTGCACTCCAGCCTGGGCAACAGAGCAAGACCCTGTCTCAAAAACAAGAAAATTGACAATGGCTAACATCTTTAGCTAATAAGACAAATAATTATTGGATATTTTCCTTCCTTTTCCCCATGTTTTACATATTCTAGTCCTTTTCAGTGCATAAAGCTAGGAAATATGTAGTATATAATCCATGCACAGAAACTTCTGTTTATTTCTGTATGTGTCCTTGTGTTATAAAACAAAAACTAAGTCCCTCCAACTGCAATCTAGCACCACGGGATTCATTCTAGCTGTCTCTCTTAGTTGTAATAGCAAGAAACCTGGCTTCTCATTATAATAATTTACTCATTTGTTCAATCCTGGTTACATATATTTTGGAGTTAGTAAACCATAGCTCTGAGAAATGGATTTGCCAGCTATAATAGTGTTTGTACACAGTTGTTTTCAGTCTTCAGTATCTATTCAAAACATGTTCCAAAGCTATTTGGATAGATACTGTGTTTTATAACACAAGGACACAAGGGTGCATGGCTCACGCCTGTAATCCTAGCACTTTGGGAGGCTGAGATGGGTGGATCACTTGAGGCCAGGAGTTAGACAGGCACCAGCCTGGCCAACATGGTGAAACCCCGTCTTTACTAAAAAATACAAAAATTAGGCCGGGCGCGGTGGCTGAAGCCTGTAATCCCAGCACTTTGGGAGGCCGAGACGGGTGGATCACGAGGTCAGGAGATCGAGACCATCCTGGCTAACACAGTGAAACCCCATCTCTACTAAAAAAATACAAAAAAACTAGCCGGGCGAGGTGGCAGGCGTCTGTAGTCCCTGCTACTCGGGAGGCTGAGGCAGGAGAATGGCGTAAACCTGGGAGGCGGAGCTTGCAGTGAGTCGAGATCTGGCCACTGAACTCCAGCCTGGGCGACAGAGCGAGACTCTGTCTCAAAAAAAAAAAAAAAAATACAAAAATTAGCCAGGCATGGTGGCGCACGCCTGTAGTCCCAGCTACTCTGAAGGCTGGGTCACAGGAATTGCTTGAACCCTAGAGGTGTAGATTGCAGTGAGCCAAGATCATGCCACTGCAATCCAGCCTGGACAACAGAGCAAGACCCTGTCTCAATAAAGGAAAAAAAAAGGGCCAGGTGCAGTGGTTCACACACCTGTAATCCCGGCACTTTGGGAGGTCAAGGCAGGTGGATCACCTGAGGTCAGGAGTTCGAGACCAGCCTGGCCAATATGGCAAAACCCCATCTGTACTAAAAATACAAAAATTAGCTGGGTGTGGTGGCATGCACCTGTAATCCCAGCTACTCGGGAGGCTGAGGCAGGAGAATGGCTTGAACCTGGGAGGTGGAGGTTGCAGTGAGCCCAGATCGTGCAACTGTACTCCATCTTGGGTGACAGAACAAGATTCCATCTCAACAACAACAAAAAAAGTATTCTCTGATCTGTTAATTACTGGGAGAGGTGTGTAACGTTTCTTACTCTGTTGGTGAATTTGTCCGTTTTCTCTTGTATTCTGTTAATTTTTTTATTTTTTGATACAGGGTCTTGCTCTGTTGCCCAGGCTGGAGTGCAGTGGCATGATCTTGGCTCACTGCAGCCTTGACGTCCTGGGCTCAAGTGATCCTCCCACCTCGGCCTTCCAAGTAACTGGGACTACATGTGTTCACCACCACGCCCAGCTAATTTTTGTATTTTTCTTAGAGACAGGGTTTCACCATGTTGGCCAGACTGGTCTCAAAATCCTGAGTTTAAGCAGTCCACCTGCCTTGGCCTCTCAAAGTGCTGGGATTACTGGCATGAGCCATTGTGCTCAGCCAATTTCTATTTTGTTTGTTTTGATACTGTATTATTAGATAGATAATACTCTAACATGTGAGTTAGAACACTAACAAGCAATTTATACCTAGGTATTTGTGAACTCCTTACCATCCCAGGTTTCTGCCTCCTCAACTTGAAGTAATACCATCCTGTCTTATTATTTCTTTTCCTTGAGTGTTTTGTTTTGTTTTGTTTTTTAGGTAAAGTCTTACTCTGTCGCCTAGGCTGGAGTACAGTGGCACAATCTCAGCTCACTGCAACCTCCGCCTCCGGGTTCATGTGATTCTCCTGCCTCAGCCTCCTGAGTAGCTGGGATTACAGAC